CAAAGAAGGTAGATCATTCACTTTTTACCTAATCTAATTTAAAAATAGAAGATAAGCTAACTTTTTATAGAGAACATTTATGTAAGAATAGACTATTAAAAATAGGAGGGTGATCTTCTACATTTTATGTGTAAAATAATATATAAATCTTTTTTTTTTGCAGTGGACAGACTGGCTCAGGGAAGACATTTACTATGATGGGTAAGTAAAGATTAAGTTTTGTGGGCTTAATCCTCTCTTTCTATGATGACAGCAACCAGTGTGTTTTAGGGAAGGCATAATTTCTGTATTTCATGTTGGTCTCACGGAATTCGGGATATTCCTCAGTCTTCTGCCAGATTGTGAGTCCTTGATAGCGAAGTTCATGTGTTAATCATGCTTGCAGCTGTAGTCCCCACCTCAGTGCTTAGCAAAGAGTAGGTGCTCAATAAACAGGTTTTCAGTGGGACTTAATGCATTTTTTTAGACTTACACACCTGTACACCTACTACTCAGAACAGGATTTTTAGTAGCTATCCCTATCCCTGTCCCCTGGAGTACCTATTACTTTGACTTCTGTCTTCATTCATTTTGCTTGTTTTTGAACTTCTGCAAATGAAATTTTGCGGTATGTATTCTTTTGTTTCTACCTTCTTTTAGCATTAAGTTTCTAAGATTTACTCCTATTGTTGCATGTAATAGTAGTTTATTTCTGTATGATATATGTATTATTGTATGATCCATTACTGTATGACATATGTATTATATGGATATACTGCAAATTTTCCCTTCTGTCATCAATGATACTTGGATTGTTTTCAGTTTCCGTTCTCCAGTGTGTGAAGTATTATCTCATTATGTGTTTCTTTGACATCCCCATGTCTTGTGACAACTGAGTATCTCTCATTTATTGGCTATGTCAGTAACCTTTCTGTTGAAATCCCCATTCAAGCTTTCTTCCTGCTTTAAAAATTGGCTTGGCTTTTTCTTGTGGAAATTCTTTATAAAAGAGAAAGATTAGCTTTTTGTCCAGTATTATATAGATTCTACATTTTCTTCTAAGTTTTTCATTTGTCTTGACTTAGGATGTTTGGTATTCTAAAGCCTTTTTTTTCTAATGTGGTTGAATTTCATGTTTTTTTCTTCTTTCTTTCTTTTTTTTTTGGTAGAGACAGAGTCTCACTTTATCGCCCTTGGTGGAGTGCCGTGGTGTTACAGCTCACAGCAACCTCCAACTCCTGGGCTTAAGCGATTCTCTTGCCTCAGCCTCCTGAGCAGCTGGGACTACAGGCACCTACCACAATGCCCGGCTATTTTCTTTTTTGTTTCAGTTCAGCCAAGGCTGGATTTGAACCCACCACTCTCTGTATATGGGGCCAGTGCCCTACTCACTGAGCCATAGGCGCTGCCCTCTTCTTTCTTTTTTTTTTTTGGAAGGCATCTGCATTGTGAGTTGTAAGAAAGGTCTTCCTCTCTCTGAGGTTATAAGAACAACAAAGAATGGAATGATTGAATACCTGTACTTATATGCTGGGCTCTCTTCAAGGCACTTTGGTCTATTTGAATATAAGGCGACATCCAGACTCTTGTGCAGCTTATATTCTCAGGCAGAGGGGATGTGCCATTCATTAAAAGCAAATAAATCTCTAGAAATTAAGCCAGAGGTGTAAGTGCTGTGAAGAAAAATAAAGCAGTATAGGGGATGGAAAAGACCAGGGGGTGCTATCTTAGGTTGGGTAGGTGGAGAGAATTACTAAGTGAAATGAAAATGAACCATGAGACTGTTTTGAAGAATGATCTCTCAAGCAGAGGGAGAGCAATTGCACCCTGAGATGGGTGCTCTGTCAAGAGTGTTGAGGAACAACAGAGGACCTGTACTTCAAGAGTGGAGTGTTCCAGGATAAGGGGCTAGCAGGAAAGGAAGTTACAGCTGTCCCCTGGGGCCATGTCATAGAGGTTC